ATACTTTTACTCCGATACATTTCCCCGAAGCATATTCGTTACTTACTACAAAATAGAAGTAGGGATGGGCGGATCGATCCTTAAGTATCGATACTTTCGATACTGATGTTGTATCGAAAGGATCGATCCTCACATAAAAATATTGATTCTAAAGTGCATTTTTTTAACCATTAATTTTATTTATCAAGAAATTCAGTGCATAAAATAAGCGAACCATTTCTCCTGCTCATCGGAACACACGCAAATGCTGAAAGACAGAACCAATCAATCACAGACAGCGTTCGCTGCTGACGCATGGCTCACAGTGCTTGTTCAAATAGGGCTGCGTTTCCCAAAAGCATCAGAAGCATAAGTATATCTTAAGAAACCATTGCCACATTGTTACATTACATTAGCCTACATAACATTGTTACTATATATAAAATTAATTCTGAAAAATGCATCACGGTTTCCACACAAATATGAAGCAGCAATAATAATAAATGTTTCTTGAGCAGCAAATGATATTAGAATTATTTCTGAAGGATCATGTGACACTGAAGACTGGAGTAATGATGCTTTGATCACAGATGCATTTTTAATTAAATTTTAAAGTATATTAAAATAGAAAATAGTTATTTTTAATTGTTAGGCTATATTTCACAATATTGCTGCTTTTACTGCTTTTTTTTTTTTTTTTTTCTTCAAATAAGTGCAGCCTTGGTGAACATGAGACTTAAAAAAAATTACAAAATCTTACTGACCCCAAAATGTTGTGTACATGTAATATTTATTTTAAACTGGCTAGTTTGTGCAAGTAAATTTTATTTAAACTGGTTGTTAAAAGTTCAAATGGATTGTGTTATGTTCTGGTTTTACTACAGTGACCACACAGTATTTGTAGTAAAACTGCAGTAACCACAAATTTACCATGGTAATAATAATACATTTAGTACTTATGTAACACCATCTTTATTTTTCATAAGGTATCCTCAAAGGTGCACCTTTGTAACTTATCTACCCTTAAAGCATGCATACTTGTATGGTACTAATATGCTCACTTTTAGGGGTATAGTTGCACCTTTGGGGTTACTGCCCCAGTAAAGGGCTAAAATACAATTATAGTATATATTATTTATGACAATGTAAACAAAAAAAGGCCTATGAAATGTTAAAAAACATGGCTTTAAAATCTAATATTAAGTGAGTATAATTACTGATTATATTATTTTAATAATTTAAAAGATCAGTTTAGTTTAGAGGTATCGGTATCGATGATACTGGGCTTGAAAATATCGGTATCGGATCGAAAATAAAATAAGAGGTATCGCCCATCCCTAAGAAGAACACGGACTGCAGGAAATCAGGTTTGACGAATCAGTGGTCTGGCGCTTGTAAGTTAGACTCCTAAAAACACCTTTGCTCATGTGCAAACAAGTGCTCACACAACCGCGGATGATTCATTTTCCACTCAATTCAAGTCTGGGGTGTGCAATATACAGTATATCTTCTGTGATAATATGGTAAGTGTTGTTGTAATGATGTGCGATCTGACATTATCAAGCATATCACCAAATCACACAAACAGAGACAGAGTGCATGCACGTAAAAATTTAAGGCATTCTAAATTGGAGACGGCAAAAATGCTTCTGTATGCTTTTTATATTTATATTATTTAATATAGCTAACTTAATCTATATCACACAAAGAGTACCGTTTTTCTGCAGATATCAGCATGATAACTAATTTAATAATCATTTTATACAAGTTCAGTAAAGTTAGCAATAAGTGACTTACATTTTAGACATAATATTTGTATGTAATATGTTTTTGCTCAATTTTGCCAACGAAAATAGTTCCAAACAACGATCACAGCACTGTTTAGCGTCTCTGAGCAATGGTGTTCACTTATTGAATGAATCAGCTTTTTGAACGAATCGGTTTGTGAAGCTGAGGAGAACGTGTTCCCCCTGGCGATTTATATAAGCCACTGCCGTTGTGTTGTCCGATTTGACCAAAACGTGGTGATTCCGTAGGAACTGCACGAAATGTTTCAATGCTGAAACACTGTTAAAAGTTCCAGGAAGTGTATATGTGCGTTCTGTAGCGAGATGGGCCATTTTCCTTTCGCTATTCTGCCCTCACACACTGCACCCCAACCTGTGAGTGACGCATCTGTCGTTACTACTTTTCTCAGAGAAATCGCTCCCAGCGGAGTCCCTGATTCGAGAAAAAGAGATTCGTTTCTTTGCTGGAGGGGTGGAACAAGACACCTGTGCTGTGCAGAGGGGTGCTACAGAGACTCAGTGAGTGCTGTAGCCCCTCTTTTGATTTAAACCCAGACCACAGGTTAGTTCGCCCGCCTCTTTTTTGCCTCCCTGAGGGTTAGCTGGGCGATGCTTAGCCGCTGCTGCCGCAAACGAGGCCTTACCTCTGGGCTGGGGCTGTTTTAGGGTGAACCTCCACCTGCATTGACTGCTGAGACAGGGGGTGCCTAGGGTTTCAGTACCCTGACTGTCCCCCCCTGGAAGCAGAGGCAAACCCCGGACGCATGGGTTGGGGGGGCCGAGCAGTCGGCTTCCTGGGAAGGAAAGTTTCAATGGTATGCTGTGAGCAGTGAGGTGGCATTTAGGGCTCTGACAGCCAAGGCAGAGGACCGATACTTTTTTTGAAAAAGAGAAGCAGACAACCTCTCTGTCTGTCCCGGCAGTGAAGGAGAGGAGGATGATATGCTATGATATGCGACTCGTACTCGGCACTCCAAACCCCTTAACAGGAACTGAGAGCAGTGCAGGCAGCACTCGGGATTAGTGAGCACAGCCTGTGCGTGTCTAACTCCCAAACATGCTATGCACAGAGGGTGAGAGTCTTTAGACGAAATCATAGACCCGCAAGCACACGGGTGAGAGGGATCTTTCCCCTTCACTGTGCCACGGGATGGGCTCGCAGTCGCCATAACTGAGATGCAAACACCTGGAGATTAACGAGATCACCACAACGTGCCTCTCGATATTGGGTCTTACAGCAATTATTCCCTTAACGTGAAGGAATGATTGAGAGAAAGGAGCTGTAACTGCTTGATAAAGAAAATGAGAACCCGCCTTGATGCACTAGTCCCCTCCACAAAGATATAGCAGAAAGAAAATAATCACTTTGACAGAAAATATTTTCCCCCCCAAAACAAAAAGCAGCCGCATTCAGCGAAGCACCTAAAATGCGACTCGTCCGTGAACAGTTAAGTGGCCACTCTTACGAGGATCTGCTGAGGATAGCCTCCAATAAGGATCTTCACGGGGAAGAGAACGAGAATGAAGTATGGACCGCTAGCAGCGATATATATGAGGGAGGCGGGACTCCCGCATCACTGTCGTGATTGGTCTGTCAACCGACAGATGTGGTGTAATTGGTGCTTCCAGGATTGGTCACGCCCGAGGCGATTCCCATAGTGAGATACCTCACTCATGTTATCAGAGAACCGGGGTTACATGAGTAACCTAAAGTTCTCTAAGATAGACTCACTATTCACCTAGTCATGTATTGTGTTATACTTTATCTGTATGCAGAGCCAACAACTGTGGACCTACATGTGGATGGAATTACAGACATCTGCACTAAAGAACAAGACATCAACTTCATTTTTACTGGGTTTTCAGTCTTGGGAACTGTTAGTTGAAATTTTATGCATTTGACTTTGTAATACAGTTTTTTGGCGATTCCCATAGTGAGATGCCGAACTAATGTTTGAAAGAACTAATATGACCTATAAAGGTGCAAAATACATTTACTTAGGTTACACATATTTGAGAATCGAGATATTTCATGATATAGTTGTGATAAGGTTCAAGAGGGTGGAAGGAAGAAGACAGGGTCGGCGTACTGGGACGCAAGCTTTATTCAAAGTCTCTGGGTATACACAACGGAAAAAGGCGCTCACTGTGCTTTCAATCTCTCAGTCAATAACTCATAACATAACCCTACATATGCTTCATGCTCCAGCAACCCATCTCCCCGGGTGGCTCGCATTCCCAGTCAGTCTCTCTCCTTACATGTTCCAGGTGGCCCCTTTTATCCGGTCTCTCCACACCAATTACTGAAACGAGACACCGGTGTTTATCATTTGCGCTTGACCTACTTACGCACCGCTTGTCTCCTGCCTCTCTCTCCCAGTGCAGACCTCGCTGAACCACGCACCCCTCGTCCCTGCAACGCCAGCAGGCCGGCCCAGGCCTCCCTAGTGGCAGGAAGTGGGTCAAGGAATTGGTGTGGAGAGAGCGGCGGACCGGGAGCTGCCGCCGGCCGGACCCGCCCCCCTGGGCAGTGCCCTCGGGGCGGCTGTGGGTTCCGTCCCTGGACCACCCCTCCAGCAGGGTGGTCTCTCCACACCAATTACTGAAACAAGACACAGGTGTTTATCATTTGCGCTTGCAGCGCTCCTCTCCTGCCTCTCTCTCCCGGTGCAGACCTCGCTGAACCACGCCCCCCTCGCCACGATAGTTAACACAAATTGGGAATATTTCGAATAAAAATAAAAAAATTAAAACATGACATGGCATGATGGAAAAAAAATCTTTTTAGAAAATCTATCTGCAATGTTCTTTGAAATTTAATCTTTGTATGCATGTTGGTTTCAAATGGGTTTGAGAAATGCTACAGTACTTTCAAAATACTACACTTATGACTAATATATATATATATAACATTAAAGTGAAAAAGTTTTCCTAATCTAAACTATCTACAAGTGTTTTTTTTTTTTTTTGAGAATGGTAAATACATTTTACAACCTAAACTTTGCCATGTTATAACAAGGTTAAATTATCTAACATTTAAGGACTTATAAAACATCTTTCTCTCTCTGCATGTTTTTCTCACGTTTGATGCACTACTTGACCTGACAAGTCTTCTCAAGGTTTTTCAGCAATTTCCCTTTTTTATTCAATGCTTTGTTGATGACAGTTTCTAAGAGCAATGTACATATATATTATATATACACACCTACACATATAAACACACAACACAATAAGACAAGCGCAATGTCAAAATGCAGAGAAAGCTTGAGACAGATTTATTATTGGTTACACAATTTGATTATACACCAAGCATAAAGAAAAGTAAAGGTGAAAATGCATTTCCTTTGTAAGGCAGTATCAAGAAACAAAAGAGCTGCAAGTAACAATGAACTTCAAGAAGAAAGAAAAAGGTACACCAGTTACACCAGAAATACTGAAGCATGGCTTCCTTACTCATATCAAAAGCCACTGCTCACATCATTGCTTATGAGCAGTTGACCACCTTCTGATTGGTCCATAAAAATTATGCATTGCCATGCCATTGGTCCGGGTGTTAGCAAATTGAGGTCTCTCTCCCATATTTACACACAAACGCAGGTCTTCCGAGATGTGATGCGAAGCTTGACAAATCTAAAGACAAGGAGGGGCAGGCGTCAGTCAATACAGCATTCTGCTTTTCAGGTCAGATTTATTTTTGGTTTTGTTTTCCCCATGAATGAAAGCGCACACATGGTCGAGAGAAGCATAATTCTTAGCATTTATTACATCTTTATTCTCTGATAGGCCAGTTCCAATGGTTCCAAGTTTTACAGGTCATTCTCTTGTATTGAGAGATTTATCTAATAAAATAGATAGTGACCAAAATTATCAAAGATCTTCATCTGCATATAATATCCATGCACACTATCATCAAACACCTGATAGTAATCAATTTATCAGTACAAGAAAATAAACGCAGGCACAGACTATGATTTTCTTAAATTAAATTAGTAAAACATATTTCAATATTTTAGCTGGAAGCAAAATGTTTGATTCCTAAAAAAAAAAAACACCCCTCTCAAAAATGTAAAACTTTCAAAGTACTATATATTCTAAAACTAATACTGTTTCCTTTGCACCCTGTTTATAATATTGAAAATTCAGCAGTATTTAAGCTTATATTCTGTATAATTGCACTGCACAGTGTTGCGCAGAGCTGCATATGCTACTGCAAAACAGCACATCTGTGGGGCTATACAGTGTCATCTGACCAATCCAAACAGGCATCAGCAGATGTTTGTAAAGATCATTGGTCTGATTGACTCCCAAATATGTCTGTAAGTGTCTATCATTTTACTGTCTGTCTTGCAAAGCTATCGAACGTTAATCAATTTAAAAGTGCAACGGAGACTGATGTGACGAAAATCGTTTCTTTGCAATTTAGAACAGTTTAAGCAGATTTCATCCAAGAAAACCAAAATCATTAAAAGCATGCTTCCCTGTAGAATATTAATATTAGTAGAAAATTAATTTATCCATAGGAAATCTTTCCATTTTGTAGCTTATATTGTAATGTCTTTTCAATTATTTACATAAAATTAAAATGTAGACTCTATGCAAAATGTGGAGCATTAAACTAAAAGTGGAGTACTGAATTAACTCTTACACTCTTTTCGCTTACATATCATTAAGAGAGTCGATACACACAAATCAGAGTGTGTGCGGTTAGTGCGCAAATGGCAAGTTATTTTTAATCCCGATATTTGTATGGGAAATGTTGTGTGTAGTTTTTAAAGCCTATTTTGTGCACACAACGATTATACATCAGGCCCCAGAAGTTTCAAGAATTGTGTATTCTTCAGTAAAACAACAATTGAGGGAACAGTAAGAGATATGTGAATGCACATGCTATACATTTTATATTCCTAGCATTTTCTTTTTTTTTTACTACAACTCCTTTTAAATCATGTAAGTTAACTTATGGCTCAACTGGAAGTTTGCTGAGGACCCCTATGGTAGAGAACAAACAAAATAGACTAAATTATGAAACAGAATAGAAACAATCACAGCTAAACTGATGAATATTACTAAAGCACTGCAAAACACAATATTAATTGCTCAAAAGAAGAAGGACTCAGAAAGCATCACAACTGCACAGAAAGGAAAGTCAGTGCAAGTCAGGCAGCACACCTGCCCCTGCCCGGAGAAAGACACCTTCTCCATGGTAATGGATATCCCGCTCTCACCATTTCTTGTTCCGAGGCTTCAGTTCCTCAGCTGCATTCCTCAAGAAGATGTAATTATTTTTCTGGGGATTGTAATATTCATGTCCCTGTGACACAAACAGAAGTAATAAAAGTGAGAAGAGATCAAACTGATTGTCAGTTCACTAAAAAGAAACAGTTACAGTAAGGATGAAAACATTAGAACTTCAGTCAGTTCTAATTAACCAAAATAAAGCAAAACACCCCAATTTTAATGACAGTAACAAGATCACTGATTCACTTTCAGAAGGATTTTTTTTCCAGTTGAATAATAAAAACCATTGACAACCAATAAGAGTGTGCCAAGTCCAACTTGAACCAACATGGTTCAAGACCACTAGATTCAGTTTAATTTTGCTGCACTGTTTGGCTATTTTTGAACACAAGAACGCATCTTATGTAAGCTCTCCCTAGGAAAGCATCTGATTGGTGTCTGCTGGACCTGAATCCAGTATAATAAACAGGGCTTCTGTCATAACAATTAGTTGAGTAGTCAATCAGGCAACCCATAGACTAGTGTGTTTTGAATGTACACTACCGCTCAAAAGTTTGCGATCAGTAAGATTTTAAATATTTTTTACCAAAGTTTCTTGTGCTCATCAAGGCTGTATTTATTCTACCAAAAATACAGAAAAAAACCTGTTATTTTGTGAAATATTATTGCAATTTAAAATAACAATTTCTATTTTAATATACTTTAAAATATAATTTATTCCTGTGATGCAAAGCTGAATTTTCAGCATCATTACTCTAGTCTTCAGTGTCATGATCCTTCAGAAATTATTCTAATATGCTGATTTATTATCAATGTTGGAAACAGTTGTGCTGCTCCATGTTTTTTGGAACCTGTGATACCTTTTTCAGGATTCTTTTATGAATATAAAAAAACAACAAAAAAACAGCATTTATTCAAAATGGAAATACCATTCAAAAGTTTGGAGTCAGTAAATTTTTTTCTTTCTTTTTTTGAAAGTAATGAATACTTTTATTCAGCAAGGATGTGTTAAATGGATAAAAAAGTGATAGTAAAGACTCATATTGTTATAATTTTATTTTTAGTTTTTAATAAATGCTGTTCTTTTTAACTTTCTATTCATAAAAGAATCCAGAAAAAAGTTTCCAAAAAAAAAACATGAAGCAGCACAACTGTTTCCAGCACTGATAATAAATCAGCATATTAGAATGATTTCTGAAGGATCATGTGACACTGAAGACTGGAGTAAAGATGCTGAAAATTCAGCTTTGATTACAGAAATAAATTATATTTTTATAATTGTATTTCTGATCAAATAAATACAGCCTTGATGAGCACAAGAGACTCCTTTAAAAAAACATTAAAAACGTACTGATCCCAAACTTTTGAACGGCAGTGTAGTTATTCACATTCCTAAAAGCAATTTTTTTAATGCATGTTCAAAATCATAATTATATATATGAATGTATATTTTTCCTTCATATTTTAAATATACTTATATGAAATTGACCATAGGAGCTTAAATGAAGCTTAATCTATCAAATATCCTAACTGACTATAATACGTACTATACCATAACTTTTTGTATGTCAACACACAAACCTAAAATCTAATCTAAAAAGACAACTGTTGGAACTTAGAAATGATCAGCAAGTGAATTTATTTTCTTGGACAGTCAAAAAAAAATTTAAATGTGTGAAGTTAACAATGACAATTCATCAAATGTTACATGTGTATTGAGATTGTACCTTAGACCAGTCATAGCTGGAAGCATAGGCAAAAATGTTCCCATTGTTATTGAAGCAACAAGCTGTTATTGGTTGATCTAATTGTTCAGAGGTCTTCAGCTTAGTGCGGGCATCTTTATCCCAGAAACTAAAGTGCCCATCAGAGCCTACAGTCGCCAGAGTGCCATGGACAGGGTGAAAGGAGATAGCGTTCACCTACAACAGAGAAACAGTTTCTGTTTATTTTACAAGTACTATTTATTACTGAATATTGCCTCATAACCTCAGACTAGACTAATTGCCCAAGCAATCCACATCATTTCAAAAATACACAAAACCTACAACACTCACAGCATAAATATCTTGGGGTGTGGCAGTATTGGTTCCGTTGGACCTGTGGCACTTAAAGGTGAAATTGTCCTTGGCTCTGAGTTAAAAGGTGAATATTAGTAAGATAGAAAGATTCATATCCAATATTACATTCAAAAAAATTGCTGCTTGTTAAAGTTACTTGTTACAATGAGTTGGTAATTTTTTAACATTTCTGTCACAACTTCATTTCATAATGTTCATAACGTACTTAATGTTGTAACATTTAGGTTAACAATGTTTTGTTGGGGCTACATTAATAATTTCTGTTGAAATAACTGGGCAGTAGAGCTGTAGTTACTGGCATACTTTACATGGAACTGCAGCAGAAGAGTAAATCTTGAAATTAAATTTGATGTTTTTCAGAGACTCCCTTTACTGAATGTGATTGTTTTTAACATGCTAACATGCTATTCTTAGTTGTTATCTTATTCAACTGGTTCAAAATGATGATTACTTTTTTAGTCTCATTGTACAAACCTAAAGTAATTGGCGTGGAAAAGTTTTCCTTAATTTAAGTTGATCAAACTTTTTTAAGTGTTAGCTGTTAAATTTCTAAACCAGCCATGAATTATTTGTGGATTGGAAAGGAAATCAGATACAGACTCACGGGTTAGGTGGGTTTATGTAATGAATGGCAACTCGTCCCTCGATGCTGCCCAGTGCAAAACCAGTAGGTTTACTCTGCTTGTCCTTAAAGATAGCCACACAGCGGTGCTATTAAACAAAACACACAAGTTAAAATACACCTCAATGGTTAACAACAATATCGGCAGAGAAGAATTAAAATAATGGTGAAAATGTGCTATGAATCAACAAAAAACAGGGTTCAGAAATTACACAGGGCAACTATGGAGATGTTAGTGAACTAAAGGTTCAATGTAGGTGAGTAATGATTCACTCATTTTCAATGAGAAAATCACTTAAAATTCCTGCCGATTCATAAACAACTATTTAAGTGATATTTTTATGAGTTTGTGTGGCCTAATAATCTATTCCGAATGGTAAATATTGAACTGTAATTTGTTGAAGTATGTATAACAGTCCAAAGCAAAAATATAAATTTGAAATTTGCCTTTGCTTAAAGAATTTCTGGTTTTCCAAAAATCAATGGTGAAATGAGATCCTCCATCAAAAAAAATTACTATAGTTTGACTACAAAAAGAACTGGATTACTAAATTATATGATGATTTGCACAATTTCACATACATAGCGAGTTGTTCTATTTACATTGGGCTTAGACTAAGAAAAATAAATATATACTATAGTCACTGGTAAAATTAAGCATTCCCACACTGGTCATGAGGAAACCACTTTTGACAATACTTGTGTATTTGATTCATAATTCAAGTACATTAAACTTATTAAAATCAATCCAATGTATACAGAGCTGTGCAGAGAGTAAAAGTAATTTTAAAGATATATATATATATATATATATACACAGTGTTGGGCAAGCTACTTGGAAAATGTAGTGAGATAAGCTAACAGTTTCTCTTCATTAAATGAAGCTTCACTACACTAAAGCTACAGCCCTGTGAAATGTAGCAAGCTAAGCTACAGCAACATGGCAAAAGTAGTTTACTACATCTAAGCTATTTTAAAATATATATATATATATACAGTGGGTACGGAAAGTATTCAGACCCCCTTCAATTTTTCACTCTTTGTTATATTGCAGCCATTTGCTAAAATCATTTAAGTTAATTTTTTTTCCTCATTAATGTACACACAGCACCCCATATTGACAGAAAAACACAGAATCGTTGACATTTTTGCAGATTTATTAAAAAAGAAAAACACTAAAGCTCCAGCCCTGGGAAATGTAGCAAGCTAAGCTACAGCAACATGGCAAAAGAAGTTTACTACATCGAAGCTATTTTTTATTGAACCAACATCATAAGTCAATGCTCTCTCATTGATCAATAAAACTGTCAGTCAAGCAGATAGACAGGCATAATAGTTCAGTTTAGTTTTTTATTCAACAACTGTTCCAAACCAATTTGGCAACAAAAATCAGTATCATGTACAGGGCAGGATTTACTCATATTGTGACATAGGCAAAATCAATTTTTGCTGTCAGCCGGAAACCTCCTAGTTGGTATTGTGGCTTTATTGTATACAGATACATTTATATAAATGGTAACACTTCATAACAAGGTTCATTAGTTAACATTGTAGCATTTGGACCAATCAGACACATTAGATTTAATAAATCAATTATTCATTAGATTAACAGGTAATCACAGACCCCTCACCCAATAAACATACTGGGTGCCAGGATGTCTGTGAATGACCCCAGGCCCCTGGTTACCATGGCAACCAGGACACCTCAGCCAGCACCAGATCAACT